ACCCCGACCCCTCGGGGCACCCTGGGGCCGCCCCAAGCACCCACCGTGGATGAGGGTCCCACTCAGCCACTCGCACCCATTCAGCCACTGGACGTAGTAGTTCTGGGGGAAGGAGAGCAGCACCTCGTTGCTGATGATGGAGAAGGGCAGCAGGAGCACGGCGCCCAGCGCCACGGCCAGGGTGAAGGTGCACAGCCCCAGCCTGGGGGAGGGACGAGCATCGACTCCGGCACCGGGTCTGGGTCCCCGCAGGTGTCACAGCCCTGCAGCGGCCCCCAGGGTCACCGGCCCCCGCAGGCTGGGGGGACGCGGGCGTCCCAGCTGGGCAGGGATAGGAAGTGGCCGAGCATCCCGCAGGCAGGGAGCGGGACAGGCAGGAACTTACGCAATCCTGTTGACAGCAGCATCCTCGTCATCATGAACTGCAGGGGGGGGAAAACCCAAACCAATGGGGCTGGGGGAGGCAGGGCTGCCCGGAGCATCGCTCCCTGCCTGCTCCCCAACCTCCCCCCGGCTCCAAATGCTGGAGAAACACTCCCAGGGGATTTGGGCTCTGCTCCCCTCCCGTGGCAGCCGAGGAGGTGCCCCGCAGCGACCGATGCCACAGCAACCCGGGCTGCGGCAGGACTGGGGCTCCCGAGGGAGGCAGAAAACGATGGAGGAACAAGCCCCTGGGGAGGCTGAACGTGGCTGCCAACGGCTGCCCGGCTCCGGCAGCTCCTGCCTCCTACCTGCCGCAAAGTCCGTGTGCTTCTTGAAGTGGGTTATGATGAAGTGGCAAAGGATGTAGAGGCTGGCGAAGAGCAGGGTGCAGATCTGCAGGCAGAGGAGCGTGGGCAGCACAGGCAGGCCCAGAGGGCAGCGTTCCCACCCCGGGCGATGCCGTTGGCCCCAGGGCCCGTCAGCTCCACCCTATTTGTTTTTCCGCTCCTGGCCCTGGTTACACCCCACACGTGTGCTCAGCCCTGCCCGTGCATGGGGTCTGCACCCGGGGCTCACCCACGGGTGCTCGCAAGCTGCCACAGTACCCGGGGGGCCAGGGGGGCCCAGACCACAGGGAGAGCCCACCCAGCAGCTCTGGGACGGCCTGTGGTGGCAGACCTGAGGGGTCCACAGGGATCGGGGTGGCCCAGACCCCGTTGGACACCCATCCCGCCCCAGCACTGCCCAACCCCGCAGCCCTCGCCCCGCTGGCACCAGCACCCGGCAGAGCCGTGGGAACAGCCTTGAGCCAGGCCCCAAGGCCGGCACACTGAGTTCTGGCCGGAGCAGGCGACGTTCGAGGAACACAGCGACCTTTCATCCTGCCGGGTACGCGGCAGGATGGGGAAAGGTCACCTGAACCCGCCACCTTGGCACAGGCGGAGCGGAGCAGCCGCAGCACCTCCCTCCTGCCCGGCTCGGGGGGGCTTGGCTGGCCGGGGGTCATCGGGATCTGCCGGGTGGGGTGGCAGGGAGCCCTGGGAGCCGGCCCAGCTCCAGACCCTGGAGGGGCAGTGCCCAGCAGGTCCTCCCATTCCTGCTTCTGCCCAGGAAAGGGTCTCAGGCCGCAGGTCCCCTCCTGCCACGGGCTGTACCCCGCAGCCCAAAGCTCTGCCTGGCCGGGGGACCCGCAACACCTCCCACACTCAGCAAAGTCAGGCCGAGCGAGCTCCACGCTGGCCGTGCTGAGCCAGAAGCTCCTGGGCGAGATGCGGCTCCCCGAGACAGGTCGGGGCAGAGGTCTGGGGAGCTCCAGGGCAGAGATGCCAGGCTCCGGCCACCGGCTCCTCCCCGCAGGCACCGAATCGGGCCATGGCAGGGCCGCCCTGGCACTGCTGGTCACAGCCTGCTTGGCCACCCTGCACGCAGCATCCCGGAGAGCCCTCGGGAGACGCCAGGACCAGGACGCCCGGGTCGTCCCCATCCCTGAGCCCGTGGCAGCGGGTGCCCTGGCCGGCAGAGCGGGACCAGAGGAGCAGACCCAGCTGCCTCCCTCTGCGGTGCCCGCGGTTTGGGGGGGGCTCTGCAGGGCCCCTTCCCACTGACACCGAGCGCCCTGGGGAGAGCT